TGTGAGCTGAAACACGTGTATACCTAAAATCATATCTCAGTCATCACGTTGATGTGAATCACAGAGTCCAAACACTTTGTAATCCTGGATAGACCTCAGAGAATATGTCTGGAATCTGGATGTTTCACTTGGGTGGGGAGCCACTGGACAAATAAACTTAACACATCACAGCAGACTGTTGCAAATTGATTATAGGTGTCTCAAAGTGTCATTTTCAGAATAAAAAACCTTTTCTAAACCAATCATACAGTTACTGAGCCATCTAGACAATGTAAAACACCATCCACAGCACAAGCAACTGACCACTACTTGTCGATTCTGGCTCATGGGGTATCTGCTCTTACAATCAGATGGTCAGAGTTGCAACTGGACATTGTGATTTAACAAGGCTTGTCTTTATTCCAGATGCTCATTGTGGTGCATTCTGCTCAAAATGGAAGTATAGTGTGTGCAGAAATAGGTATTAGTGGATATAATAACTTTTATGTACTGCAGATAAGAACCACATCCTATAATCCTTGGTGTTGCCATATGCTAGTGAATTTACCCTAACTTTGGGCTAATGGATAACACCAATCTCCATGCTAAACTAACTGACACATTTCTTGAAGGAAATAGTATTAACCAAATGTAGTGGTCAGCATATTTGACACAATTCAATCACACACAGGTGCAGGTTGTCAAATGACTCCAGGAAAGTTTTCCAGGAGAATGGTTGAAGATACCTCCTGTCATAATCAACATTCTGATGTTAAGGATGCAATGTCACCTCCAGGCAGCGTTTTGTATTCCAGACATCCATATGTCATGCTATGAACTGTAAAGATGAAAAGCTAAATCTAACAAATTTTATTGATGAGCATAGGCTGAATGACCAGTCATTTGTAGTTCAGGTCACATAATAGAGCATCAGATGCTTGATTTGCATGCAAATGAACTGAAGATGTGACTGATGTTATTTTACAACAATCATTTTGCTCTGTCATTGCTCAAATATCATAAATTCCAGTTATCTTAGGTTTGTCTAGTGTTAGCTGACAGGATTAACTTCGATCCTCTAGCTTAGAATAGATACTTTTTCTCTTAAAAATGTTGTATTTCTGTTTAAATACCCAAATTAATTAATTTTATATACTTTGATAAATAAGTTTGGGCCATGACAATATGTCATTAACTTTAATTTTAATGACCCATCCCTTCACTTTGATCCGAGCTATATTATTAACTATGTAGGAGAAGATTATCAAGAGTTCGTCTTTTACAATCTGTTTGGCATCATCTATGGAAAAGGCCTGATTTGGTTTTCCGTTAGAGAAAAATGTGGTATCAGTTTGTGTTTTCTGACACTTTGTTTCAGGGTACCGTATACTTCCAGCGAAGATGTGCTGACATGAAATCAGAATTATCACCCATATTTCTATTAACTATAAAATCATAACTAAACATCTCAAATTTTCAGCATTAAGTTTTCAAAAAATATTTTTCACTTGTAGACAGTTAGAAACGAATATTACCAATCAGGAAGAAGCTGTGAATGAAAAATGTATCTTCATCTCACAACAGCAATTGTAAACATAGACCTTTCTAAATACAGTGACTTACAATAAGTTGCATCAATGTATAGTGGGAAACAAAAGTTATATATAAATAATTAAACTAATCTCCCTTTACCACTTTCATATGCACAGTCAACAACTTATTACGTCATCAATTTATAGCAGTGAGTTATATTTCTATGGTAAAACAACTCCCATCTTAACACACTATCTGATATACTACAAGTTGACTGGTATTAAACCGATTCTTCTCATTACGTCATCAAGCTAAATGCTGACGTCAGCTTTAGAGTAGACACTGAATTTGACATTGTAGTACATGTTATTGTTAACTGTGTATCATCATGGCTAAATGTGTTGTTGATCTGGAAGTAACGTGTCTGGAAACATGCAAGTACAAATGGCTATAACTAGAATTACATGTTGCACGTGTGTTAGACCATGTTTCATTCGAACTAATCTTACACAGATTAGTTTCATCACGTTTATTATGTGTAGCTTATTCACATAGCTTCGTGAATAAGTGCATTCTTACTTATGACTACTGTCAATAAAAGTAGAACAGCATTTAGTATATATTTGAATTTAAGGTTGTATTAAAATTAATACTTCATAGTAGTATGTATGCAGGATTGTTAACATTTCCAAACAGTTGGCAATCTGCTTCTACCAATAACGATTTAACTACATACATTACATGTACACAGTATCAAGGTTTTAATGACATTTACGAAGTTTCAAAGCTTTGTGGATGTTTATGTCGACAACAAAGAACGTGTTACTGACTAAAACTACTTTTACACGACAGTGAAAAATTGTCAATTTTTTTCCGGCGTTTCTGGAAGCCTTAAAATTAAAAGACTCGTAACAAAAAGCTGCTACCACAGTTTGTGTTTACAACATGCCTTAAACAAGACCTTTTCCTTAAACTTAAAGACTATCATTATCAACACAGTTAGCTTAGAAAGTTAAGCCTTAAGGGTAAAAATAGGTGGGTCAAAAACGGTCACCCCAGTATCAATACACTAAGTTTATAGTATTATATTTGTAAATTGTAGTTTTAAAATTGTTCTACGTTAATTTAGTCTCGTAAAAAACGACAACTTGTTACATTATATATTTTTTTGTTTGAATCAATATTAAAATCGAATGATCGCTTCTTACCTATGTTTTCAAAGTTGCTGGCTATTATGAGGAAAAGAATCAACAAAGAGAAAAAGGTCAATCTGACGGTCAATAACGGGCAGTCGCCGATGGACCTCGGCCCCATTACCACCCATGAAGCGGGGCTGTGGCAGCGTTGTGCTGCGTAAGGAAGAAAGGTTTCTTTACGACTCGGCTTGAAATTCCTGTAGACATAAATAAAACAGGAAAATTTGAGAAACAGTCCTTGTACGATGACATTCCTTTATCAGTTTATTCTTCTTCTTTTCAAAAATGTCTTACGATTCTCTTACAAACAACAGAATGTCAAACTACATGCTTCCTATCGGCAAATATAAATAAACTCACGACTAAACCACTATGTAACGTAAATGCGCGATGTCGTACATGTGCGCTCAGTCGCCAAAGCCTTTGAAAGCTACGCATGCGTTACAATTTTCCACGCCTTAACTACCGCGCAAGCGCCCTAAGTTGTTTTTTGATTGGACTAACAGACCGGTTTCTATAGGAAGAAGCGATTGTGACCCCTAGTACTTGAAGGCGGCGGCTGGTATTAGGAAAAGCAGAAGCCAAGAGAATGATGAATAACAAATTAGATAACAACTTTAGTAAAGATACTATCAAAACCAATATTCGACACTGTCTGCCATTACAAAATATGCCTAACTTGCCGTTCTTCATTAGCTTCTGCAAAAGCACAAAATAAGTTTTAATCTGATATATAACTTAATTGTCATACAAAACACTGTATCTTTGCCTCATTACTTACAAGCTTGATGAGTAGAACACATTCTTACGTGATGATGACTTGACACTATCTAGGGTTGAAATGTCGTAATTATTGAAACCAGAACTTGGCTACTGTAATTCTATTTTTGAAATAATATGATTATTTTCCTGTTTTTTTTTGTTTTTTTTATGGGAAGGAGAATCACACCTATTTAATAAAGACTAATTATAACTATTTACTCCAATCAAAGTTGTTCTTTCTATTACTAAATTGTTCAACAAAACAGTATTTCAAAACACCACACTAGATAGCTTACAAAGCCACATGGGCAGAATATTAATTTAAAATTTTATTATTTTTATGGTGCATTTTGGGTATTTTTTTTTCAAATAACTTGCTCTCCCAAGGAACTAAGATGTAGTTACCAAGAGATACTTCTGGAAAGAGTAATTCTGAATTCTTATCAACTCAACGCAAGGAAAACAAGTGTTAACAAATAACGTCATTAGATTTTAGTATTTAAACGATGTACAGTGTACACGGAGAGTTAAAGCATTATTAAATAACCAAGGCCTACACTTGATTTCATATTTGCTTTAATTACTGATTCTTATTAACTGTAATTACACGAAAATAAAACAATATTTCATATCTGACACCCAGAAGGAGGCCATGTGCTACATAGGCCTACCATCAGTTAATTGCTAGGTAATTTAGAAATCAATACGTATAGATTTAGTATGAAAAAGTTGTGATCGCGAACTTTATAAAGTAAAGAGGCGAGATTCTTTAGCGAGCTGGTTATCATGGCCGTAACGAATGTTTAGATTCATGAGTCACAATAGATGTATTACCCCAGAATGTGTTCGATACACAGTCCGTTTCTTTTGTAGAAGAGACTACACGTGTGTCCTAAGGTATGTGGGCGTATATTCATTAAGAACACTGTAAGCTATGGAAATGTTTGATGTTGATGTAGCAGCCAACAAAAGTAAGGAATGATTGCACCTTGGCACGTTCTTTATTAGCGTCATAACCTTGAACCGCACTACGGGAGGGTGTTGCGTTTCGCGCCTCTGTAGCCCAGCCTGTACTAGACTCACAGCTGCAAATATGGCTTGTTTAAGGCCGACGTATATTGTTGTTGAGCTAAACTTGGGTTATTTTTCCAGATATAGAGTAATGCTACCCCTTTTTTTCACGAATTAAAATGTAGTGTTAGAACATTAAAATAAGGGTAAAAAACACCTAGAGTTGACAGACGTACTCTAACATAGTACTGTCATGGTAACTGTTGGAGTTCTAGATGCCCAAATTATAGCATATTTGAAAGCAATGATCTGTTTGTTGTTGTTGTTTTTATGCGCAAATCTACACAATTAGCTATGTGTGCCGTGCCCACCACGGGTATCGATATTAGTTTTTAGCGTCATAAGACTTTAGACTTTTCCCTGAGCCACTGGGGGAATTGGAAATATTAACTCTCACAGGACAGTTTCACAGAAGTTGGAGTGTAGCCAACGGCACTAAACTTCATTTAGTTATTACACGACAGTTTCACAGAAGTTGGAGTGTAGCCAACAGCACCAAACTTCATTTAATTATTAACGACAGTTTCACAGAAGTTGGAGTGTAGCCAATAGCACTAAACTTC